CTAAATACGAACAGTTTGTAGCTTGTTTGTTTGGGTAAAATATTTGTGCCTTTTTGTGTATTGGATGGTGATATCTTTTTTAAGAATGAGTTGAATTGTATAACATAAAGTAGTAATTATATTTTGTCCAGAATCTATCCTATTACAAGGTTGCAACCTGATTGTTGGTTACCGCAAAGTTCTGCGTGGTTTGTGATTTATGAGTTAGATAAACTCCATAGAGAAGCCACATTAGCTCAAAGGCGAGCTAAAAGAATTGATATTACAAAGTTATGTTTATGTAATCATTTCTATACAAACTGATGGAATGTCTGAACGTGCATCACCTGTCAAGAGAAAGATTTGCACGACTACCGCATTGCTTGAGAGATAATAGTCTGTCTTTTAATTACTTGTACTTTCAATCGAAAATAATATCTTAAAATTTTTTCTGTTGGCAAATGCAGGATGCTGCTAACTCAGTTGTTAAAAAACATAAATTGAAGCTTCGGGACCGTGAACTGAGACTGTCTCATGCCAATACAAAATCCACTCCCTCGAAGAGAAAGAATATTTCACTACCAGAGACCTACAATACCCCTGCCAAGAAGTTTGCTGTTGATTCCAGATTTTCGGGTAGTGATAATAAGGTGAAAGCTAAGGCCAATACGTCTTACCAGGGTATGCGGGCAAGCAAATCTGGCACCCAGAAGAAGGTCCCTGCAAGAGTCAATGCACCGGCAAAGTCAAAATCTGGATCATCCATGGAGAAGCCAGTTAAGGGCAAAAGACCAGCAGTGGCTGCTAGAAAGCTAAAAGCACAACGGGCTACTAATGCTTCAAAACAAGTTGGAATAAAGCGGAAGCTGGATAATCGAACACCTGCCACTGCTGGCCAGAAGAAGAAAGCAAGAAAATTTAGGTAGAAAACTTGACCAGGGACATGAATCTGGCCTTCAGCTTAGTGCAAAGGTACCTCCGTATGATTTGGCCAAAAAGAGAATATAACAAGAAAAGAGAGAGCCAAGGGGAAAATGTAACCCATGCGACTGTAGCTGAAACCATTTGTTAGTTTTTACCTTGGTCTACACAATTAACTCCTGAAACTGCATATTGGCATTAAGAATAATTTATTTTATTTTTCAATGTAATGTGACATGGTTTGTATCGGGAGATCAGTGTTGTGTTGGTTTCGTTTAACATATAGGAGTTATGGTAATTTACAAGCATGACGGATTTCTCGGACGAAGGGGCTTTTCACTGTTCCCATTGTGCTCTCTGAAGCAGGTCACTAGAAAGTTACTTGTTATAATGGTGTCTTTTTGGTTGTATGAAGGTTACAACGCTATGGTATGTTTAAGGAACCCCTCGACTTGATTGCACGAGTCAAATGAATGGGATGGAAATAAAAAACCCGAGGGACTACCGGTCGTCCATGAGTTGTTTTGTGGGTTCATTTTTTGTTACAACTGGATGCCTCTTTACGATTGTGAAGAGTGCAATGTATTTGCATTTTCAACAAGATTGGACAAATATAAATAAGATTGGCTAAAGGAGTCTAATGGATTAACTACAAATAGAAACGGTGTTGCTGCAACATGAAATATGTTAAATGACTGCGCAATGGTTGATACATTTTTCAATGATACAAAACGTGAATATGGTCTCTGGCCATGTGATGTTACATATCATCAACAATACATCCTCAAAGAGGACAACAATCATATTGATTCTCTAATATCACTCACCACAGGTCTCCCAGCTGTAGCAGCCGAAGCTTAAACTTCTCTTGCAACTTTGATTGTTACAATACGTTATCGAATCAGACGGTGCCAGAGAGTTTATTGAAAGACGGGACGGGGGTTGGGTTTGTTAATCCAATGTATTTAAGCTCATGGCTTACCCTTGTTGCTCATCAATGCAGGGATAACAGAGACAACGCCTATTAGAAACAGAGTGATTATAGATTGAAAGTCATAGAGATCACCCACCGATTGCAAGTCGCCAAGTGCTATTCCAGCCTGAACAGGACGAAGGAGTTAGTATTTAGTGATTATGATGACAATTATGCTACAGGTACATCAAGTTTGACATCATCTGAGTTGGTAGATTTTTGTACATTGATTTTAACCACATTTTTTCCAATTAATGACCAGATTTCCTACACATAGGGGGATGTCATAGATATTTACAAGGAATGTACAAGAAGCATAATTCTTATCATGAATACTTTTTAAGGAAATAAAAACCGAAAAATGCTTAGTATTGTTGTTACTTCAGTTTGTCTTCTTGTTTTAGATGCAGAAATATCTTGTGCTAGGCAAAATTTTCAGTAATAATAGCATATGCGTGTGAATGAAATTACTAAAGAAAGAACAAGTACCCTGACTGTGACGAAAGCAGCAGGGATGATCCCAACAAAGGTCGCCAAGAAGAAGATATGGTAAGGAACATCTACAATTGGCGAAGCAACATTTATAAATGTATTTGGCAAAGTTGGAGTCACTCTTAGGAAAAGCATGTAGTTCAGCAGCCGGCTCCTTCTTTTAGCGACCTGAATAAGCAGAAAGATTATATTCCAACAGTACAGGCCATGCCCAATACATGACCTCATATGAGTTGATAATCACCTGGGCTTGGAAAAAGGTCAATTTGTCAGGCCAGAGGGAGAAGACGAGTGGTCGACCAATTAATTTGGACAAGAAGTAGCACGAAGATGCACCAGTAGTAGCTGTGAATACAACAAGAGCTACACCTTTGAAGACCCCAAAAAGGGATCCAGCAAGCAAGGACATAAAAACAGTTCCTGGAATCATAAAAGTCTGCATAAAAACATAGACCAGGCAGTAGCCCACAAGAACCTGTATGGTGTAGTCGCTTGTATAGCTCTCCAGGTTATCCCTTTATAAAACACAAAAATCAAAATTAGCTTTCCATTATGCAAACGGGCAATAATATCTTTGAACAATCTTTATCAGGACATTTCAGCTGAATAAGAATGCAACGAGTCAGTTACAACAAGAACTGCAAACACGTGATAAGAATAAAGAAAGCGTGTGCAAGAACATGCAAAAAAAATCTAGAAAAATTATAAGCACCGTGAAGATTTACATGTCAATCTACCACCTCTAAGAAAAATGTTGATAATTGACGCAACGTGTGGAACCCACATTGATGTACAAACTGCTTTAAATAATGTTCCAAATGCATAACCACTAGCACGCAAAAGAACTGAATATCAAATTTTATCAATCCATTTATTCCAAATCAAATAAATACGATAAAGCATGTGGCCAGGAATACTATACATTACCAAAGAAATTCTCATTGATTAAATGATTCTTTTTACCATGATTGAAATTCAATGTACACTTATTGTCGCTCTTTTGAAATCCAAATGGAATCGCTACCTTGATTAACCAACAACAAAATTCAAACATCTCATGAATCTTTGCATTATTATCAGAGCACAGGTAAAAAGAAGGCTTCTGTATGTAAAGTTAAAAGAAAAACTAAGAGGGCAACTAAAGGAAAACAAATTTCATTTATGCACAAGTTCTAATAGATAAATCACCATAGTAATGAGGCCGAGAAAGGCATCTTCAGGCATACATATCAAATAAGGTGAAAACAACAATGCAGATTCCCTCCTCCCAATACCAATTTCTTGATCTCATTTGGACAAGAAGTTCTAAAATGCATTCATTATCTCCGGGTGAAATTAAGTTTTAACAGAATGCCACCACAAAAGTATTATTCTTTTTTATTTATTTATTTATATATTCATTTCCTGCAAATCCCATTCCCCAAGATCCCATTTATACTGAAGAGGTTCACAGTGCAATAGGTTTTGGTTATTTGGAAGAAATTAACAATCACAATCACAATCACAATCACAGAAATAAAATAGATAAAGCTCTATTATCCTCCACGATGTTTTAAAATTCCAAATAACAACATCATTAAATCATTTATTCTTATGTTTAGTAGCAGCTTAAACTATAAAAATATGCATAATGATAACAAATTCAAATATGCCATATATAATTGAGAAAAAAGAAAAAAGAAAAAAAAGAGTACTTGAGAATTTGGAGGTCTTGCAGAGAACGGGGAAGCTTGAGGAAGCTGTAATCAGATGCAGGCATTGTTAGGTAGATACCCATCAACCCTAAAACAAATCCCAATAAGACGCCGCAAGCCATCGTCACCTCCCACAACGTCAACGGAAATTTGAGGGATCTCACCTCCTTCTTCCCTTCAATTACACCTCCGGCGACATTATCATGATTCAAAGAAGCTACTTTTGCATCCATTAATTCCAATTAATCAAAATAATCTTTTTATTTCTATTCTGGGCTATAGGAATTTCGAATGTTGATTGGCGTTTAAGATAAGAATGACGACATGAATGTACTTATATATACAAATACAGGTAGGAACATGTATAAATGAAGAAATATATATCAATTCAGACAGAGAAGAAAAGGGTTTCTTCTTCCCTTTTTCTCTAAAATTTCAGCTGAAGATGATGATTGATTGTCTACCAGTGTCATTGTCTATTTATTGGAAGATTGTTCAGACTTCAGACATTGAAAAGAATATTCCTTAATTCGCACATAAAATCCAAAAAGGTTAATAAAATTTCCATCGCTTCTCATTTTTTATTTTTACTATATATATATATATATATATTTTTTTTTTTCAATAGTTACTTTAAAGAATGTGTGGTTAAAAAATATTAAATTATTTTGAATTTACTTGTAAAATATTTTAATGTATCAAAATGAGTATCAAATGGTATTAACATGTAATAAAGGTGTGTTTGACGTGTCATACTAGACCAAATAATAAATAATTTAATCATATACGTCGTCTTCTACAATAATACAGTGAATTCTCGAGCTTATTCTAGTTTAATTAATTGGAGTAAAATATATTAAAAGTATTTTTTTTTTTTTTGGTTCATATTCAAAAAAGTTATTTGTAGGAAAAAGTTACTTTTTAAATTTTAGATGAATATTGTCCTTTTTTATTTTTCAATACTTATATATTGTATTATAATACATCCCGATCAACCATATTTCGGTTTTGTAATCATATGGTGCAGCAAACGTGTACTAAGTGTCTTCCGACCACAAATTTGGAAGAAAATTACAATTTTTATATTCTAACTCAAAATTAATATTTCCTTTTTATATTTCTTGTAATTCGATTAAAATAAAATATATTTAATTTCAATTAGTGGTCGGTGAGGTTGAAGTGTGAATATAATTGGTAGGCCGTGATACCAATCCAATCCATTTTCGGCGATGATGATAATTTGGGCTTGGTACTAGAGTTGGGCAAATCTCCCTAATCGAACCTGACGGTTCTTGTCAAATTAAATACCCGGACGGATATCTGAATTAAGAACCGACGGGTACGGTTCGATTCTCAATTCTAAGTCAAGAACCGAAGAACCGAATCTTTCTAATTTTTTTTTATATTGAGTAAATCAAATTATTTTAATTTTAATTTTTTCTAAACAAATTAACAAATTAATGATTTCTAAATCCAAATTTTTGGCCCAATAATTTGTTTCATTTCTAATTTTTTAATTTTTGGCCCAATTATTCGTTTTATTATTTCATTTCTTAGCCAAACAAGATCAAATCCACTAAATAACCCTAAACACCTACACTAAAGTGCATAACGTTGTCTCGATTCTCGCACTCACTCTCGCAGCCTCGCTAATATTCCAAAACCTATACAATTGTCGACCGACACTTTGACCTTCGATCGAAGCTGTGACTTCCGCCGACCGAAACTTTGATCGTAGCGATCATTTGAATAAGGTAGTTTACTAGTCTCTAACATTCCAAAACCATTGAATGTATCATTAGTCGTATTTATATAACGTTGTTATAAATATTAAAAAATTTAATTATAGTACAGAACCGAACGGAACGGAATCGAACTGAACCCGAACGGTTCCATAATTATAGTTGGACCCGACGGTTTCATTTATTAGATACCCAAAACGTTTGGTTTGGTTCGATTCGGTTCTAAAGAGAACCGAACCGACCCGCGCACACCCCTACTTGGTACAATTTCAGTGCTGATCCATTGCCTGATAATTCAAATGAAGGAGCCTAAACTCGGACCCAATATATGGTTAAAATGCATTTTGGAGATGCGACTTTAGTTGTCCCATTAAGGCCAAAGTTGTCAGTTGCTCTACGCCGTTGATCATTTACGGAGATAAATGGTTGCTGTGTGGAGTATATATAGTGCCTTTGTGTGTTGCCCTACTTTACTTTTCCAATTTGATTTTGGGGCATTTTTAAGAATGTCCAATTTTAAGAGTATGAGTTGAAAAGTGTCTACTCATTTGAATTTAGTGTCAACTTGTTTATTATGCCTTCAATGAAAATGTACATTTTGAAATGGTATTCTCGACATTTGAATTTTTTTTATCAATTTGTCACGAATTTTGAGAAGTGATTTCCATGAAAAGTTACATTAAAATAATGTTTCTCGACATTTCATATGTCATTCTCGACATTTAAACACCGTTTCATTTGTTTAGAATGACATTTCATTTTGAACATGACATTTCTCTACATTTAAAAATATCGTTCTCCACATTTCTGAATCAATAAAAAACATAGCATTTATTGTGATTTGACATGTGTACTTTTTGAAATAAATATGGCAGGTTATGTGTCAAATTTTATTGGTCAATAACAATATTGCAAAAATGTCCATTTTTTTGTCTTAGTGTGGAACTATAAATTGTTAATAAGGATATTTTGGTCTAAATTCTTTCAAATTAGACATTTTTGCAATGGTGGACATTTTTGTAAATGACTAGATAAAAATGAACATTTTGTGAAATTTCCTCTTTGGATTTTTTGTGTTGCTTCTGGAATTCTCTTTTAAGTCCTTTAATTTCTTTTGTCTTCTTTGTGTGATCTCAACTCTTGGTTGGATGATTTCTTTCTATTTTTTGAGTGATTGTAAATCTCTGCAATTCTTGGATGAGAAAGCAAGTGTATGGTTCTACTGTGATGCCTTCTGGTCCATAGGAGTAACGTTAATTGATTATTGAGGGTTTGAGTTTGACGTTTTCAAATTTGTATAGAAAGATACAATGTTCTGAATCATAAAATATGTGATACAAAAATGCCATTGAGTTTTGAGTTGTGAATTTGAGAGCAAATCTTTGTATACTTTGAGTTTTTCAATATAATTGAAAAATTACGAAAACTTTCCTTAAGAGCTTAACGACAATTATAAAAATATCCTCTCTTATTTTAAAAGGCTAAATATATTGACATTTGACACACCATTTTAATTGTATAAAATGTCTATTATCTTAAATTATTGTCATATATTTTCATAGCGTTTTTCTCTCATTCTTATTCTTAACTCTCAATTAATTGTCATAGCTTGTTTATGATAGCAGTTTTCTTCCAAAAATTCTATGTATCGCTCGTATATTTAAATAAAATAAAAAAAATTGTAAATACTAAATTGCAACTAAACAATTGTTCATCAGTTAGAGAGTGCATATAAAAATTTTAGACTAAAAGTATCATTAGATATAAGATGTACTAATTAACGAAAGAATAAGAATAAAAATGCGATATATATATATATATATATATATATATTAAATTGATTGTACTATTATATTACAAGTACAAAAATAAAGATCAAAGAAAATATAATTTTATTCAAAAATTATTCCATTAATGTAATGATATTTATTTTAGAAAACCATATTTGCATTTATATAAAAAATTTAAGAAGCAAAATAAAAGGAGAAACGAAATGAGCTATATATATATTTTAAAATTGATTGTACTATTATATTACAAGTACAAAAATAAAGATCAAAGAAAAATATAATTTTATTCAAAAATTATTCCATTAATGTAATGATATTTATTTTAGAAAACCATATTTGCATTTATATAAAAAATTTAAGAAGCAAAATAAAAGGAGAAACGAAATGAGCATAGTTAAATAATATTCGTAGTAGTTTTAATAATTATAAAACAAAAAAGTTAAATATGAAATAAAAATTTACTTCTGTAATTTTTTAAACACTCGCGTGTTTATGTAATTTATAATTGTTATGGGAACATGTCAGCCACGAGTTGCACGTGCCATCGACCCTTAAGACAAGATAACACCGATTAATCATTGCGTTGGAGAGGCACATGGCTGCATGTAGTGCTCCACTATCAACGCCAACGTTTGTAATACGACAATTTTGTAACGACTTATTTATCCTTTTTAGCTTAAGAACTAAAGGTATCTTCTATTCTTTGATTACCAATCTATTGTTATCGATTATAAGTTATATAATATTTGGAATGACGTCTATCCTGCTAATAAGAGTTGGTATAAGGACGAGTCGAATTGTAGTTTAACCCAAATTTTAATGAGTATTGGAGTTTTGGTTGAAATGGTCTTGAAGAAATCAAACTTATGGATTGGGGAAGAAAAATCATCGTATTTTCGCTAGCTGCATACTTATGGATCAGGGAAGAAAAATCAACGTATTTTCGCTAGTTGGATGCCCGAGCGACTCCTGCATATTTTCTTCATAGATTTGTCGCTCGCCTGATAACTGAGCGACGGAGCTGTAGCCCGCATATTGCTCGTCTATCATTGACAGGATTATCTAGACTAGGCTCGTCTCGCATTTTTGAACTCCTATTCATATATGTATATATACATGTGTGTGTGTGTGTATATAAGTCACGGCTTGTATTGTTCATTTAGTATTCATATAACATTTTGAGAGCTTTATACCTTAATTGAGAGTATTGGAATCTTATTGTAAACCCAATCATCATTGATTATAGTGAATTTCTCCTCATCTACATGTGATTTTTTTCCATTTTGGATTTCACATAAATCTTGGTGTTCTTAGTTTGTTCTTGTTTATTTCATTATTGTCACTATCTTTTGCTCAATTCATGACAAGTGATATCAGAGCAAGATTGATTATTCCGCATGGCAACGATGAAATATGATATTATGTTATTAGATCGAAACACGAGATTTACTTTATGGTAAGTGAAAGTTCGAGCAGTCTTGCACATATAGATTTGGGGGAAGCCTTGTTTGCCTTTGATAAGATGCCTTCAATCTGGACGCAGGATGAAAAGCAGCGTAGGGATCGAAAAAGCCAATCTCAAATTCATTTGCATCCATCAAATCAAAATTTTCAGGATGTTCTAAAGGAAAAAATGCCATTGTGTTGTGGTTGAAGTTGGAGTTACTTTGTATATCAAAGAGCTTGACCAGCAAGTTACACTTAAAACATCACTTGTATTCTCATCGGATGTTCGAAAGCACGGGATGATAACTCAACTATGTTCAAAGAAATTGTGGTTGATTTGGAGATATTATATGTTAAGTATTACGACGAGGACTTGGCTTTAATGTTATTATGTTCTCTGTCACCATCATATATGATTTTTAGAGATACTATTATCTATAATTGGGATACTCTCACTGTGGAAGATGTCTATGATACTTTAAT